GTGAAAATGCATTTAGCCTAGGAAGGAAGGTTGTGGACCCTTTTAGGGCATTCTTGACTCCTACAATAGTAGAGGCACTAGTGTGTACTAGTGGTTGGCTTAGGGCAGATGAAGTAAACTTCTACAAGGAACCAAAGGAAAATATGCTTCAATTTTACAAGGAAATGGAAAAAGAGGAAACAAGAAAGATATGCTTTAATTTTTTTAGTAAATTTGTTATTTAATGGTTTTCAACTTTAATTCTTTTTGCCACTAATTAATTATGTTTTATTTGTTTGTAATGTAGGCTTGACACAAGCTCAATCTTCTACAAGTTCAATGCCTCCTCCAAAAGCTTTGACATCTCAAGCTTGAATAACTGATCAATGAATTCTACTTTTTGAAGTTTAGTTCCAATTTTCATTTGGTTTGAAACTTTAATTTCTATTTGGATTGTTAACTTCTATTTGTTTTGGTTCGTAACTTCTATTTGGATTGTAAGCTTAATTTTCATCATGAATCTTGATGCATTATTTGAATTATTGTGTGTTTGAATTGTGAACGATGAATAATAGATGAATTTAAGCTACAATGTATGAGATAAAGGTACAAAAAAAAAAGTTTTGCCCTTGAATTGGGTAAAAAAAAACAAAAACAGATTTTGTCCCAAAACAAAATGGCAATTACCATTGTCATACCTTGCCAACTGAACTTTTGGCAATACCAAACTTCCATATACCAAAAGTTTGGTACGGTAATTGTAATAGATTTTACCAAACCGAAAGTTTGGTACGGTAATTGGTACAAGGGTTTTGTTACAGTAACTGTACCGAACCCACCCCTAACCTCAAGTGGGTCCAAGATGTGAAGCTCCACCTCACTGCAAAGAACTTACGTCCTTCCATTGAGATGAGACGGACAACCCTGTTGGCGAACCTGAGAAAGCCACTGCTATGATCTTCATTCGAAGACATATTCATGACACCCTGCAAACCGAGTATCTTGTTGAGGAGGATCCACGAGCATTATGGGTCGCTTTGGCTAATCGTTTTGATCACTAAAAGGACATCTTCTTGCCTAAAGCAAGACATGACTACAACATTTTCGCTTCCAAGACTTTAAGTCTATGAATGAATATAATTATGAAGTTTGTCGAATTCGATCACTTCTCAAGCTTTGTAACAAAACTTTGACTGAAGATGATCTCCTGGATAATACCTATTCGACCTTCTCTGCTACTAATATTGTCCTAAGGTAACAATATAGAGCTCAGAAGTTCACTAAGTTTTCATATTTGATCTCTGTTTTACTTCTTGCTGAAAAGTAGAATCTGTTGTTGATGAAGAATCATCAAGCTCGACCTACTAGGGCGACTGTTGTGCCTGAAGCACACTATAGCACGAACCAACGCCCAAAATGCCAAAAGAGGCATGGTAGGGATGGCTAGAAGCCATCCCGTCAAGGTCAACAGAGCTAAGGCCCACCTGAGGAAGGAAACAGAGCCTCGAAGCGCCCTAACCTCACTTCCAAGGCCGCAAACTTCAAGAATAAGGGCAAAGCATCTGAAACCATGGATGCGGACATGTGATATCGCTGTGGTTCAAAGGACCATTTATCCCGTGTTTGTCAAGCTCTTCAAAAGGTTGTAGTTGAATATCATTCTCGTCGTAAGAAGTTTGAATCAAACTTTTTGCAATTGGACGAACCGGAGAATACAAAGATGGAGATTTCTAACTTTTAGGAGGACACCACCCCTATGGAAGATTTGAATCTTAGACATAAACTATTTTTTTAGTTGAATTAGACATTGCGGCTGAATTCCACAGTAATGGCCGAACCCCCCCTTTTGTTTTTGGTTAAATTTTGAACAAGTTTCCTTTATGTTTGGATTATTTGTTGGTGATTTATTTTTGGATATCAAGTTTTAATTAATTACCAACCTTGAATACTTAAATTTTTTTGAATTGATATTTGTTTAAATAACTTTTATGCATGTGACCGATTCAAATTAATTTTTCATTCTAGGTATGACTAGTGGGCAAGTTAGTTGTTTGGCAGATAGTGCACCTCTGACTAACTTCATACCTAAGAATGCACATCTGACAACCCTCTCAGGCCCATCCAACCTGATTGAAGGATACAGTAAGGCACGTATAATATTGTCCAATGGTACAATCTTGACCATTGATGGAGCATTCTATTCTCCACTTTCCGAAAGAACGTTGTTGAGTTTCAAAGACATTAGAGATAACAATTACCATGCTGAAACCTATGTAGAAAACGGAGTTGAATTTCTGTGCATAACTTCCTACGAATATGGCTAGAAGCGTATTCTAGAAAAGATTGAGCGTATCCCGAGTGATCTGTATATTACAACCATATGCCCCATAGAAAGCCACTATGTGGCCGGCCCTACCTCTAGGACCACGCACGAAATTACACTTTGGCATGATTGTTTGGGACACCCTGGATGAATAGTGATACACCATATCCTCAAATCATCATAAAGGCATCCACTAACCAGAAGTTTAGGTTTGATTCAAGGAATCGCATGTCAAACCTGCTCCATGGGAAAGCTTATTATTAAGCCTTCTTATGACAAGATTCGTTCGAATCCTCCTATTTTTCAACAAAGGATTCAGGGGGACATTTGTGGACCGATTCACCCTTCTTGCGGACCATATAGATATTTTATGGTTTTGGTTGACGCTTCCACACGTTGGTCACACGTGTTCTTGTTGTCCACAAGGAACGTTGCATTCTCCAAACTGTTAGCTCAGGTTATCAAGCTCAGGGTTCACCACCTTGATTATCTGATCAAATTTATTCGATTAGATAATGCTGGAGAATTCACATCTAAAACTATTGATAACTATTGCATGTCGGTTGGGGTTGAAGTTGAACATATTGTACCCCATGTTCGCACCCAGAACGGCCTGGTAGAGGCATTCGTTAAGCGCTTACAATTGATTGCTCGATCGTTGGTCATACGTACCAAGCTCCAGATTGCTGCTTGGGGCCATGCAATATTGCACGTAGCCATGTTGGACCGCCTGAGGCCTATTGCGATCCAACCATATAGCGCCTTTTAGTTGGTTACCAAATACGAATCTGACATATCATATCTGCGTGTTTTTTGTTGTGCGGTCTATGTGCCGATTTCGCCACCCTTACATACAAAGATGGGGCCTCAATGAAGGATGGGAATCTCTGTCGGATATGATTCTCTTTCGATTATTCGTTACTTAGAACCTTTGACAGGTGATCTATTTACCGCTCGTTTTGCGGATTGTCACTTCTATGAGACAGTATTCCCGTTGTTTGGGGGAGATAAGAACGTCAACTTTTCTGAAGAAAGACGCGAATTATCGTGGACGATTCCCACTTTGTCTAATTTAGATCCCCGCATCGCTCAGTTTGAGACTGAAGTGCAATGTATATTAGATCTCCAGTGCATAGCTCAGAGCATGCCAGATGCTTTCACTGATCTAGCGCAGGTGACAAGATCACATATTCCAGCTGTGAATGTGCCAGCTACTCTTTTTCCTTACGATTAAGAGAATTTTTCCCACTAGATTTTTGCTACCTAACTAGGTTTTAACGAGGCACCCACCTTGGATTGATCATATCCCTGATGATGTCCCATAGACGTTTCATTTGACTTTGCATTGCTCACGCATTTTTCCTTAGACTATGGATTTTGTCCATACTGGGGTTTCTGCCATAGTCGTAGTATTTTTTGTGAGACTTACTTCCTTATGCTTGTTCCTACCTTATTTAAGAATAGCTTGTCCCCAGAATCAGTGCCGACAAGACGACTTCCTCAACTTTGATGCTGAATCTACCTTGAGTATTTACACACTCAATGGGCGTGTTGTAAACTTATAGTTTAAGTATGATTGTGTAAATCCTAGATTATGTTTGATTCTAGTTATCCTTTCCTATATGGTCTTGTATTCCTTGGAGTAGAAGGATTTCTTCTCTCCCTTATTACTATAAATAAAGGCACTACATAGGGGGATAACAACACACCCTTACCATACCCCTACAAACACATCTCTCTCTTCATAATCTCTCCTTGCCGCCAGCCCTCTCTCTTCCTGTCAGTTAAATATAGGCCATAACACAAAACAATTTTTCATGCTTTTTATGTATGCTCATGTACTTATGAGTTGGACTGTGAACTGGCTTACTGATTAGGTAGTGATTTGAATATTCTTTGTATACTTTCATCCTCCTATTCTCTGAGGGAGAACATATATAACTCCAAAATCGTCATCATGCCCTCCTACTTTATTATTTTCGCATAATTAATTTTTGGAAGTGCAAATAATAGCTCTTTATTAGAAGTCATATACGAAAGCGGTAAAGCAACTTCAAACAAAATGATATATTATAAGTCATACCGTAGCCGTATTTGTATCCATGCATTCCTACCATATTGGCCTGTATGTTTCGTCTCTATACTTGGCAAGAGTTTGCTACTATGAAGCATGGATACGGATATGACGATAAAATATGACATGACACAGAGATAGGTAAATATCTAAATATTAAGTTATGATACGCCATGAATACGTTAAAGAAAAAAATATATAGCAATAAAAATATAAAATTTAAAACATAATTCATCATTCAAATTTAAGTTCATTTGAGTTGTTGGAGAAGAAAGGTTGGAAATCTAATCCTCTTTATACATAGTAAAAAAAAGAAGTATTTATCAATAATAGCCAAAATTTAACACCCAATTTCAAAAATGTCATTTTTTTATAAAATTTTTCAAATATATATAAAAAAAACTCACTTAAATAGACGTAAATATCCTCAAAATGAAAACCAAATAAATATAAATGGCAAAACCCTCACCCCCATTGTTGAGAGGAGCATATTCGCGCACACTCTCCCTATTGTTTAGTTCTGATTGGTTTGTAAGGTCTGGTGTAATTCACAACTTGCTAATATGAATTACAGATTAATTAGATTTGCGGGTAATAAAAGCAAGAATTAAATTGGAACGATCCTTTTGTGAAAACTGTTATTATTTTAAATCTCTGTTCTCCAACAAATTTAAGACAAATATCTTGTGAAAAGATAGATAAATTTGCGGAGACACCACATGATGGGACCTATATATACTTTTCTGCTTGTATCTTTTCCTTCCTAGAAATACAAATGTTTACAGATATATCGTGGTTCATACTTTCGGCATAATTCTAGGTAGCACGTAAAATCCTTAAGCTTTTATCAGCTTCTGAAACCTGATTAGGCTACAAACAAACAAGCACACCTTTACCGATCAGTCTTTGGCTATATGTTCACCGGTCTCATCTCTGGTCTGCATTCGTGTCCTATTTAATCTTGTAGCAATTAGACATATGAGAAAGATGGCAGGCAAAAGGGACAGTTTGATGGGATTTTCAGCACGTCGAATGTAATAAACGTATTGAATTATTGAGCAAACACATTGACTGATGCCTCCGAATAACCCAAAAATTTCAATGACCGAACCAAAAAGCATGCAACATCCCATCTTCCTCCAAACCACTTTATTTTTCCTACCTTTGTAAATCAGCTCACATATGAAAATGAGTAGAGCTCCAATAGCCAAGAGCATTCCGAACAGCGCATACCGAGGCCTACCTGGGGACGAAGCCTGATCACAAGCAGCTGATAAAATCTCCATGCAAAGGCTAGTGACTAAAAAGATCAACTCTTCTGAATTTGGCTGCATAATAACTTAGTAATGAGTTTAATTACAACTTCAGAGATCTACAAATAATTATGCAAAGAAAAGGCTAAACGGAATCAGAATCCGCAGCGGCGCATGGGCAATGTTCCTAGTGATTGCTAAAGTAGAAACGCTAGTTACGAAAGTGAAACATGGTTCAAATTGAAAGAACTAAAGCTCGTAGCAAAACAAATCATGCCTTGATGAAATTGAATGGGAGAATTAGAGATGAAATTCCACACCTTTGCCAAATTATCAGCTGGTGCTTCAGACTCTTTCGCGGCGGCGTAGGGAACTTGCCTTTCGTTAGGCGCTACATTAAATGTCACCAGCTGTATATTGTCTTCCGAATTTGGCTACATAATAAATTAGTAATGTTTCAATTACAACTTCAGAGATCTACAAATAATTATGCAAACGAAAAGGCTAAACTGTATTTTTGTCCCTCAAATTGAATACTATGTTGTTAACTAATGAAATTGTGTCCGAAATCACATTTTCTCCGCATAGTTTGACGGAAACATCGCATGTTGGTTACGTCAAAAGTTATAAACTGAAGAAAATTCTAAAACCCTTCAAGCAAAACGACTAACATATGTAGTTCCACTTGATCAATGCCTAAATTTAAAGGAAATGCGATATTGGACTCAATTGTAAACGTCAACCAACAACTGTATAGGCATTGCTATTACTATAGTCTAGAGTAGAGGTTGCAATTGCACTATTCATCTTACCTATGAAATAGGACTTCAATTTTGAATTAATAACAATTGTGCCATTGTGTGTGTGGGCCGTTTTTCACCCAAAGAACAAGGGTTGGGCCGTTGCGTTTGAGCCCAGAGTTCAAATACCATACGTGATGGGCTGGGTTGGGCGGAGAGAGTTGAAGTTACTCTTTGCCTCTTCGATCCAAATCCAACGGACAAGGGTCGTTTTAGTGGCTTCGATGTCGTCGAGGATTTTATGAGATTTCCAAAATTTGTAGGGCCAAGCAGGTAATTTCCATACGCATTTAGGATATTAGGAAGGCTTTCAGTTTGATGAAGGAAATTGCAGTTGATTTTGAAAGGGCCAAGCAGGTAATTTCCCTAACTAAAAATTTTAATTTAGAGTGTTGTTATTCCCACCCCGATGTCTTATTTTTCTACCCACTTCAAATTAAATATTTTGTTTACAAATTTATCCTCTTGCAAAATGACTTTGAAGGACCTAAACGAAAAAGGATTTTGACAAAGTAAGACCTAAAAAAATTCAATTTGAATATATATAAAAAGAAAAGTTTAGAAAAAAAAAGGAGGAAGAAGACTATAAGAACCATGCCTAGATCGTCCCCTACATCCCCCTTCATTCTTTTTCCTCTTCTTCTTCCATATCCATCAAGACAACCACTACTTTAGTATTGGTGCTCCCCGTCGTCCTCCACTTCTTTCATGCGAAGATAAAAATACTCACTACGAACCCACGAACCCATTATTTGCAGGCCGGCCTTCTGCAGATCCGGGAAAAGGCAACCAGTGCCACTCCTCCATATGCGCAACCCGACTGAAACATGTCACCTGTTCCATACGCCTTGCACGCGACATCTTCTCTTGTCCAAATCCAACCCACGACAACCTTCTCTAGCTGGGATACAAAATGAGATCTCAAGTTTTCCATTGGTATCACCAAAAAATTTCCATTGATAAGGAGCACTAGGCCCAATTTATGATTTTTTTTTTCCACAAATCATGAGCAGATTAAACAAACAAAAAAATAAATAATTGTTATTTTATCTTTTATTTATTGTTAGGAATTTAAAATATTAAGGTTATTTTAGGAATAAAGGTGGGTGTGGAGATAGTATCTCATTGTTTTTACTTTTAATAGTGGGTGACAAAATAAGTGGGGTGGGAAGATAAGAAAAGGGGGTGGGCTTAGTAGCATTCTTAATTTATTGTTTTTATACGAGAAGTGGTTTTAATTTCTTAAATGTGTAGGTGCTGCTAAAAGCCTGAATTACCAACCTGGGCCGGAGGTAGACCTGGCATTTTGGACTCGACCCAACCCGTTAATATTAGTATTTGGATAGATGCTTAACGGGTCAGGTCGTTAACGGGTGAACCCGTTAAATAACGGGTCACTTTGGGTCAACCCGTTAGACTCATTAGTACCCGTTAGCACCCGTTAGTTGATGATGTTTTAGTAATTTCAGTAAAGTCTTAACAACAAAAATAAACTCTATGCAAAAATAATAATAATAATAATAATAATTGTTAACGAGTAAAACAGGTCGGGTTCAAGTGACCCGTTAACTTAACGGGTCGGATTAAACTCGACCCAAACCCAATAAATTCGACCCGTTTACAGGTCTAGCCGGAGGTGCTACGAATTTTCTGATTCTTGCAAAGTTTCTCATACAATCACTTTGCTTTTACATTTGTTGTTTCTCTAATCCATCCAAGCTGATATGGTTATTTGATGTTGATGGGCCAGCTTACGGGCTTCAATTTGAATTGTCTGTGTTCGCCTGTATTTTTTTTGAATTGGTTGAACTAAGATGTGCATTTTCTAGATTAATGGTAATTGAAAATGCATTACGGAATCAGAATCCACAGCAGTGTGCGGGCAATGTTCCTAGTAATTGCTAAAGTAGCAACTCTAGTTACGAAAGTGAAACACATTTCAAATTGAAAAAAAACTAAAACTCATAGCAAAACAAATCATGCCTTGATGAAATTGAATGGGAGAATTAGATATGAAATTCCACACCTTTGCTAAATTGTCGGCTGGTGCTTCGGAATCTCTCGCGGCGGCGTAGGTAACCTGCTCCTCCTTCGCATCGTTAGGCGCTGCATTAAGGGTCACCAGCTGTATATTCTCTTCCGAATTTGGCTGCATAATAAATTAGTAATGTTTCAATTACAACTTCAGAGATCTACAAATAAGTATGCAAACGAAAAGGCTAAACTGTATTTTTGTCCCTCAAATTGAATACTATGTTATTAACTAATGAAATTGTGTCTGAAATCACATTTTCTCCGCATAGTTTGACGGAAACATCGTATGTTGGTTACGTCAAAAGTTATAAACTGAAGAAAATTCTAAAACCCTTCAAGCAAAACGACTAACATATGTAGTTTCCACTTGATCAATGCCTAAATTTAAAGGAAATGTGATATTGGACTCAATTGTAAACGTCAACCAACAACTGTGTAGGCATTGCTATTACTATAGGCTAGAGTAGAGGTTGCAATTGCACTATTTATCTTGCCTATGAAATAAGACTTCAATTTTGAATTAATAACAATTGTGCCATTGTGTGTGGGGGCCGTTTTTCACCCAAAGAACACGGGTTAGGCCTTTGCGTTTGAGCCCAAATAACATACGTGATGGGCTGGGTTGGGCGGAGAGAGTCGAAGTGACTCTTTGCCCCTTCGATCCAAATCCAACGGACAAGGGTCGTTTTAGTGGCTTCGATATCGTCGAGGGTTTTATGGGATTTCTGTCCCTCCCAAAGAGAGAGAGGTGGGAGAAGTATGGATGGCGTTGAGGGTTTTTTGGGATTTTGTCCGTTGCAGAGAGAGATGGGGAGAAGTATGGGGTAGGGGAGAGGCTTTTCTGCCATTGAATGTGTGGGCCGTTCTTCACGCATTCCATTTCATCTCCTTTCGTTTTGGCTCTCTTCCCTCTCGCTCTTCACTGCGCGCCTCTACGCATTGAGGATATTGGGAAGGCTTTCAGTTTGATGAAGGAAATTGCAGTTGATTTTGAAAGGGCTAAGAAGTTTGAGAAGGTAATTTCTCTAATTAAAATTTTTAATTTGGGAATGTGCTATCCACAAATCATTTTTACTTCTCGTACACCTTATTAATTTATGTCCGTTGATTTTCTTTAATTAATCCAATCCAACGATCGAAAACTAAAAAAATGTGGAAGAAGTAAAAAAATGATGTTTCTCATACAATGACTTTGCTTATACATTTGTTGTTTCTCTAATCCATCCAAGCTGATATGGTTATTTGATGTTGATGAGCCAGCTTACTGATTTCAAGTTGAATTATCTGTGTTCGCCTGTATTTTTTTGGAATTGGTTGAACTAAATGTGCATTTTCTAGATTAATGGTAATTGAAAATGCATTATGGAATCAGAATCCGCAGCAGCGTGCGGGCAATGTTCCTAGTGATTGCTAACGTAGCAACTTTAGTTACGAAAGTGAAACACGGTTCAAATTGAAAGAACTAAAACTCGTAGCAAAACAAATCATGCCTTGATGAAATTGAATGGGAGAATTAGAGATGAAATTCCACACCTTTGCTAAATTGTCGGCTGGTGCTTCGGAATCTCTCGTGGCGGCGTAGGGAACGTGCTTCTCCTCCGCATCGTTAGGCGCTGCATCAAGGGTCACCAGCGGTATATTCTCTTCCGACAGTAGTGATTTGTCCAGCTGCTCTCTATGCGACGACATACTTGTGGTTGTTTTTACCAAATTTCCGAAAATATTTGCCTTGATTAGGCCCCTTTTAGGTTGTGGAAACTTCGGTACAGAGGACGAGGACGAGGACGATTCCATTCTCTGCAATGACGATTCCATTGAGAAGTAGAAAGTAGTAAGTAAATCGGGTTCCAAAATCGCTAACTAGGAAATGCAGGTGAGGCAGATGTACTACTCAATTTTCTTGAACCTCAGTCTTTGAGGAAGGCGACTGGCAATTAGAGACGACTATTTTTGGTCAATAATTGAGTGGACTGTGCACGCGTGAATCATAGGGTCTTATTCCCTATAATGTAATAATTTTTTGTCAATAATTGAGTAGACCGAATGCCATTGAATCATAGTCTTATATCATTTTCAAAAGAAATGTGAAATTATAAGGATCAAATTATAACTGATGACTGATGTAGCAATTTGAAGTTTTATGTCAAATTTTGTACTTTTTCTATCGAATTGTCAAATGTTATTTTATTATTTAAATAGAGTTTTCAATTGTTGTAATTATTAAAAACATGTTGAAACAAAATTTTCATTGGTTGAAATGCTAGTGGAATAATGGATCCACCAAATAAAAATAAATTTGACATTAATGTCAAATTTGACTTCAAATCACAAAGCTTTCAAATTTAATCAGTAAATAACACTTCGATTAGAAAGACTTTTGTCAAAGGAAATATCAAATTTTAAGAGTCAAATTACAATTGATGACTGTCGTGGCAATTTGAAGTCTTATGTCAAATTTTGTACTTTTTTTTATCGAATTGTCAAAATGTTATTTTATTATTTAAATAGAGTATTTAATTGTTGTAATTATTAAAAAAAACATTGAAACAAAATTTTTATTGGTTGAAATACTAGTGAATAAGGGACCTATCATTAAAATGAATTAAAAATAAATAATAAATTTGACATTGTCAAATTTGACTTCATATCAGAAAGCTTTCAAATTCAATCATCAAATAACACTTCAATTAAAAAGACTTTTGATGTCAAATATGCACAATAGCATTCTACTTAGAATTTTCATATCTCCTTTGAATATGTTTTTATTTCCTATAATTTAGCTGACAATTTCCTAGTATTTGGTTGGTGTGAGAGTGACAGTGTGTGGGTTGCGCGACGTTGGATCGGCATCCTTCGAGAACATTACAATGTGAAACTTTGAATTTGCTTCTTTGTGAGTGTATGCGAAACAGTTAATTAAGCAATCAAATTGATCGCCTAATTAATTAAGATTAAGATTAGAATCTTATGCATTTGAAAAGCAATTATGTTGGAACCAAATTCGTGCATTGAGTGGTGATTGTGCACAAATTCGAGCAACTTCCAAAACAGTAAATAACTATTAGCAGGCCAAAAATTGGGGGTCTACCAATCAAAAGCTATCCAACGGTCAAGTTAGTGAATGATTTTAGACTCAAGCAGTGGACAAGAGAATTCAAGTGTTTAGATTGTGTTATCAGAGATGAACCCTATATGAGTGTATTTATATCATGGGCGAGAGACATTTTCAGGATAGAAAATATCTAGGAGTAGATCTTGCATTGTGATTACTTGTAGGGCACATCAGTCCCTAGATTGTAGGAAATTCAAGACTTAAAAGAATCTGATTGTGTCCATATCAGGATCAAAGCATGGTTATCCAGCGGAGTCGAAAGGACTTCGCATGTTGCCCCGAAATTGGATAATGGTGGCATCATTATCCATTTGATACAACTCTGCCTGCAGCTGGTGAATCCATAATCAGACTTCTGAAGTAATTGTACTCATATCAGCTTCACTCTTGTTCTCGAAAATAACCACTCATTTGAAAGGCAATCTAATCCCCTTGATGATGGATTGTTATTCAAAGACCATTTGTTTTGCTCGACTACGTTCACATCATTTGTTAGGATGTCAACCATTAAAGCTCCTGACCCAATGTAGCTTTCGACGGATTTAGATCCTCTCTAGATCATCCTAGGGATCAATGCATAATAATCCTTCATCAAAAATCGTGCGGCCACAATTGAATGTTTTATATATTTTTAAAAGTAAAGCAATCTCGTTTTACATGAAAATATAAATAAATAAAAAAGAAAAAATTATGACCGCATGATCTTTGATTGACGGTTACTACGCATTGATCTGGGATCCCCAGTGAAAGGATTTGGAGAGGATCTAAATCCGCTTTCGACAAGGACCCAAAATTTCCAAATGAGCTCAGAATATTTCAATTTATGGAGCTTTAGTGTTCTGGGCTTCATCTGCAACGGGGTCTTGCAAAGAAACATGGTGTATTTGCATAGAGGTTCGTGACTGAAATTGCAGTGAAGGAAAACTGAGTATGTGGGTGTTAATTGCAGAGCTTCTAAATCGGAAATTAGTCGGGGAAGAAGAAGGGGGAGAACGGAAGGGAGTTTGGGGGTTGTGGAAGAGAGAAGAGGGTGGATGGTAAGCCATTTGTTGACTCACTTTTGTCTTATGTTCATAATGTATAGGTCGGAGTGTTCGTCAACTCGGGCCACAACCAACTAGACGACCAACTGGACCGGAGTTGCTTGCAACCGAGTCGGTGGGACTCGACGGGTCGTTTCTCTTGATCTTTCCGAATTCGTACTCACTGGCTCCATAAGCCACCGTGTTGGTGGCTTGACAGTTCGATGATGATGACAATCCGAATTCATCATCATTATGTTTTTTTTTTTTTTAAATTGGAAACACACCAAACTATCAAGCTGCTCCTAGAAACACCATATGACAAAAGTATCACAAATACTTAAAACTTCGAACTAAACTAGACAAGAAAACAAATATAAATTGGTGAAATATATAATAGAAAAATTGGTGCATTATTTATCAACCGCGTAAAGGCCAAATACCAAACTTTGAGTTTTAACGAAAATGACAAAAATGTATTGTAATTAAATAGTACCATGATTAAATTTTTTAAAGTAAAAATATGATTTTTTGCTAAAATGAACAGTACTTTCGATAAAGCTCCCTTTTTAAAAAGCCCACGTCTACAATAATCGTCCGGTTTTGCGGTTTTATTTTTCCCCTTAAATCTTACTTCACCTCTTAGATTTCACTCTCTCGCGTTACACCTTGCACCTAAACTCTTTGGCCAATGCCAAGGGCAATTTCTGCACAATTTTTCACTTTCTGCACGCTCCCTCTTGATAAAGCGAGAACAATATAACAGAAGAGAGAACCCTTCAATTTTTCATAAATAAATAATGATGATGAAAAGAACAATGTATTCATAACAGTTCATCTGCAGTATTCATCTAAAGATGTATTACCGATTTTCAATTGTCAAACTGCTGTGTTCTTGACATGAATGAATGCTTTCGGACCATGAAATGAACCGTCCATAACAGATTACATGATTTTTCAACACATTTATATAACAAATGCTTCCCGAGTGTTTGTATTAGATGGGAAAGTAGCACCAGTGCAGAATAAGGTGAAAAGTAGCAGCAGTGCAGGCGTAATGATCCACTGAGCAGAGATGCAACTAGCAGTATTGGGGAAGAAGCTTTGAACAATATCAACAACAATGTCTTCAGATTTCGGAGATGCACCAAGTTCATATCTTTGCTTCCACCAAGAGACTTCTCCTTCCCTCGTTTTCTTGGTGAACCAACACCGTTTTCCTATCAAAACTCGAGGGCACAAACCCGCTTAAATGTCACCAAAACCTTATTTGAAGCCATACATTTTTGCGGCGAACCATCCTTAATTTTGACATCCATCTCCCCTTGTTTCTTCGGCTCATAACATCCCCATGGTAGAGTAAAATGCTGTAATCTCTCAGTTCCCTTGGATCACTTCCAAAGAATAAGATGCTCATAGGCTGTGACAATAGGCAAAATTTCAGATAAAATTAAAAGTGCGGGTTCTTTTTCTTTAAGGAGAGTTTGCGGACATTGCCATAGCATCGACCACCTCCGTGGGAGCATCAGCAGCCTCACTTCTGAGTTCTGAGTACTGAAACAATGGAGTCCGACTCTGAAATCAGGACAGCATCACCACTACCTGCAATGGTTCTCTTAGCTTGGGGATCTCTATCCTGCACATATATGATTGGTTTAGTTAAAAACAGAACTCCATGTTGGCTCCGAAAGATGCTTGCCTCAAAGATTGCCATATGACCTTATTCTTTAGTAGAGCAAACCTCTCACGTTGGAGTCTTTGGACAGATCTTTTATTTTGCTCCTCAATCCATCGGCATCCTGGATGAAAGACTGAAAAGATCTCGTCACTCATAACGCAGTAAACAGGACAATTACAAAGTTGTAATTTGCATATTATGTATCTTCTACTTACTTTAGTGTTAAGAACCTCATCACAAAGGAAATTCAAAAACCTAAGCTTTTGGGAGAAGCTTAAGGCAACATATCCATCCCCGCCTCCAGTAAAACACTCTACAGGCAACACTTTGCGGCAGCTCCTTCATAACGGGGTCAACCTTAGAGACCCTGGATGCGGAGATCAGGTTCTCCAAATCTTGGAACCATGAGCAGTTGGTGCTTGCTTGCTCTAGAGACATAACAGAAAATAAAGTTGGCATAAACCACATGAATTATTTTCACCATTAAAGCTTACTAAAAGTACTTTACACATAACTATAATACACTAGGTAGAGTTCTTACTCCTGTATGAAGAAAAACATATAGCCATGAAATCAAACAACGGAAAACTGTTCAGCTTGGGACTTTTCAACCTTAAAAAAACTAGAGTAAAAAGAAACAAGAAAATAAAACGGGATTTCAAGTGAATTGGAAGTTCAGGAATGTTTTAGCACCCCAAAAAAATACTATAATCAACCGCACCTCCATCTCTGCTGCCAAAATCAACCTCTTGAGTCTCAATATTCCCGGGCCATTCCTTGACTTTATGATGCTTTCTGACTGCCTTGGCATTGACATCCTTATTGCTAATAGCAGCACCACCATCTCTGCTGCCATTACAAATTTCCATCATCTTTTTCTTAGTTTCCAGCTCAGCAGATTGTGGAGATGCATACAAGTGTTTTCTTGGTGAACCAACACGGTTTCCTTTCAAAACTCGAGGGCATATCTGCACTCACACGAAGATGGCAGCAACATGAAGAGAAGATGAAAAGGCATGCTGCTTGTATTGAAAACAAAGCAGTATATGAGTAAAACATCATTCCAGGGGTTACCTATCCAACTGAAGGAGAATCATATTCATGCCGCACTGCAGGAGAACCATTCATGAATAACTAATTGATGGACATTTAAATCATTGGCCTTAGAAGATCCAATCTTTTCAGTTCCACAGTTTGCTGCCTGCATCAGCAAAGCCGACCAACATGGCAGTGACATAACTTTGCCCTGAAAGCATAGTTTAATTCCGTTGTTAACATTTAACTAATATATAAGCCTAAATGATCAAAAATAAATTCTACAGATAGATGTAACATATTTAGAAAAGCCTTAGGAATAATGCGTTCACAATTTCCCCTACGTTTCCCATTTTATCATCGCAATCAAACTCCGAAAGTGGGAACAAAATTTAGACATGATTTGACAAGGAAAGATAGCAATGTGAAAGTTTTAGTGGGAGCATAGTAGTCACTTGAGGCGTACCAAGATGAAAAATAATAAGAAAACTTTGGAACCAGTACTCCTGAATTGCTTATTCCTAAAATATTGAGTAAACAACTTCAGTGGAGAAATTCAAATTTATTTGTGATGAAAACAAAAAAACAAAAAAGATATCAAAGTCCTTCACAAGAATTAGAGGCAAAGAAAAGAGTGAGGAGTTTTACCTTCACGTGGATCACCCATAGCACCATTCGACGACTAGTAATTTATGTAAGCAAACACATGTTGCCCTTAGTTAGATGATATTGTCCTGAAATTTAAAGAAGCATGTTTTATTAAGGGTAGCGTAGTTGAATTAAACAATTAAAAACTGATTGATTGATAAAATAAACACAGTATAGATGACAGAAAACAATTGAAGAGAAACTTTTAATTGAAGAGAAACTTTTACAGAATCTCAATCTTGGCTATGGAATGAAAACGATGCTATGTACGTACCTGAGTTTGACTTGAGAATTCAAAAGATGACTTGGTCGTCTATCTTGATGCAAGGAATGTGTGCTATCTTCATCCACTCTTCTCCCGTCTTCTCCTGACACCTCTTCTCCAGAGAAGAACACTTTTCGATGCTCAGGAAAGAGAGCGATGCCGGAAGACCCTCTTTTGTCAGGAATTCGAGACTATCACAGTCGTGAATTTTGAGCTCTTGAAGACAAGTGAGGTGTTGAAGTCCCTTTCCCTCCAAAGATTTCAGACTTTTCATGTTAGAGATTACGAGTCTGTGAAGAGTGGTAGGGAGCAGCTGTTCCTTGAGCAACCTCTCCAACACATCCTCGCCTCTCAAGATATGAAATGTTCGAAGGGAGACAATTCGTTGCAAACCCCAGTACTCCACTGAAGGCTTCAGTTTCTCACAATCCCAGATTACAAATAATTCTAGGTTTGGAGGCAAACCCCCTTGTGCAAATGACTCAACATTTGGAAGATCGCCTATACCCAAATATCGAAGGGCTGTGAGGGTGTGTATTCGGTCGGGAAATAACTTCAACTTCTCGCATCCCCTGACTTCAAGGGCAGCTAGGTTGGGAGTGGGCAATCCCCCGTGGGGAAAAGAGACCAGATTTGGACACGCTAGGATAACGAGTCCGTCGAGATGAGTGAGATTTTCATCTTCAGCTCCTCCAATGGAAAGGGATTCTAGATTTTTATTGCCCTTGATACAAAGAAATGAAAGTTTGGGGAAAACGCCCAGCGGGAAGGACCTCAGTGAATCACAGCTATTAAATAAATTGAAACGTTGAAGGGATGTCAATTTGGCCATCATCTCATGAGATAGGAATTCTAATCTCCTGCAATTTTCTATATGAAGAAGTGTCATAGAAGTGGGTAGACCATTTCCAGAGAACGACAAGAGTGATGCGCAGTTAACGAGAATCAATCTTTGAAGACAATTGCTGAAGTGCGGCCACAAGCATTCTCTGCGATTAAAAAATTGAATCTCAAGTTTGGAAAGCGATGAAAGCGACTCCGTCTCCAGTAACGACGATAGACCAGGACATCTAACTATCTTCACTTCTTCAAGAGATTGTCGCAAGGACTCCGTGTTAACGATGAGAGACCACGGTATCCATCTCGTTCTGGTAGCCCTTTCATGTAGAACCCCGCAGTCGCACACGGAAAGTTTTCTCAAGCAAGGAAGATGATCGGGCAAGTTTCCCCTCAGCTTCGGACAATTCTTTAAAGTCAGTTCCTCAAGACGAGGAAAGTCTAGAGATTGACCTCTACCTGGACAAGGTAGCCATTCCTCCCACTCTGGCATCTCTTTCAACTTTAGCTTCTTGAGAGATTGAAACGGCTGAATTAAAGAAGCTCCATTACCCCTGAAGAACTCAACACCAATAGTCATGACAGATTTCATCCTTTCTATATAGAGCTCTTTGAGAGAGGGTAACCGCCCAACTGGTGGCAACCACAAACAAGTACTACAATCAGTGAGACGCATGACTTGTATGTTGGAGAATGAGGAGTCTCCCAACCAATCTGGAAAGCTAGTTCCACCATAAAATCTGATGGTCAGCTTCGCCAGATTTACGGAAGGTTGTAGGCTTTCCAGTACATGTCTCTCTTTGATGGAATCATATGCATCCTCACGATCCCATGCCAACTCTACTTCGCTGAGATGTTTCTTATCCTTCAAATTGGCCCCCAAGGCATCCACAGGATTGACAACATTTTGCAGATTCAAGATAGACAATTTTCCTCGAAGGTGCGACAATTGCCCCAGTTCTCCAATGCCACCTGACCCAGTAGATTTCCCCAACACAAAAGCAGTCAATGTTCTCAAACTTTTTAGTCTACCCATTTGCACCGGCATCTCTTTTACACAAGTTCCACCAATATCAAGATGATGCAAATTTATCAATTTTCTCATGTCTGCAGGCAATTCAACAAGGGAGGAACAACCAAACAACAATAGAGTTTGCAAATGGTAGAGAGTACACACCGTATCTGGTAACTTTTTAATTGCAGTGTAAGAGAAATCAATGTAGCGTAAGTGCAAGTGTTTACCAATGCAATCAGGTATTTGAGTGATATTTTTATATCTTGACAATGACAACACCCGTGAACATTTTAGTGCTGGTAACAAGTCCTCTAGAACCTTTATGCTTACATAGTTCACATCCCCCTTCTTGTGTGGTCTTAAAGACATGGGAAATAAGGTGCGCAAACACTTGATTTCGTCCAATGACTTAAACTTTGCAGCACTATCAAATTCTCCTCTCATGTATGACAAATGCCGAACTCGTTTTGGAACTTCACGTGGTTGTCCCTCATCCAACCTAAAACAAAATTCTCCAGACACAGAAATAGCCAAATCGTTAACGAGATCATGCATTGTGAAACTTGATTTCCCAATTAATGATCTTTGAAGTAGTGATCGTGACAATAGTTCATCAACGTATCCCTTGCCGACCTCTTCCAATCCTTTACCACTCTCAGCTTGTGGAACTAAACCCAATGCCATCCAAAGTTGAATTATATTTTCTTTTTCAAATTCATAGTCCTTTGGGAAAATTGAGAAATAAGCAAAGCATTGTTTCAAATAAGTAGGGAGATAATGGTAACTCAATCTTAATGATGGAAGAACACCTTTATCATGCAATATCTCCCAAAGATTGTTGTTCAATATGTGACTCCATTCCTTGTAGTCCACACTACAACCTAAGAGACCCCCAAGTGCTTTTGCAGCTAAAGGAAGACCATTGCACTTGCGTGCAATTTCCTTACCAATTTCTTCCAAGTCCGGATGTGCACTAGGATTTTCATTTCTAAATGCATGTTTTGCGAGTAACAACCAACAATCTTCATCCAACAAATGTTTCAAGTAGTGAATAGGCACGGTGCGCACTAGGGATGCAACACTTTCATTTCTCGTTGTTACAATGACCTTACTTCCCCTTGCCCCATAAGTAAAAGGAGTTTGTACAAGAACCCATTCATTATAGTTGTCATTCCAAAGGTCGTCCAACACAAATAGGAACTTTTTCCCCCTCACTTGTTCCCTTAGTTCAACTTGAAGCAAGCTATCTGGAAGACTGCAAGGTTTTGAGCTAATTGATTCAATAAGGGTTTTAGTTACCCTCATAGCATCAAAATCTTCAGAAACACATGCCCAAGCAGTAACATCAAAATGCTCTTTTATTTTTTCATCGCTGTAAAGGACCTGAGCAAGGGTTGTCTTACCAACCCCGCCCATTCCCAATATGGGGATTACTGATATGTGGCTACTGCTCGCATAATCAGATAGCAACGTTGTTTTCAACTTGTCTTTATCTCCATCCCTACCATAAGGACAAAATTCATGCTCAACCAAGAATGTTGTGGGAGTTCTTCAAGAAATTTTCCCCTTAACACCTCCCATAAGACCAAGGAGATTAATTTGTTTTGCGAGGTGTTCTAACCTTTGGAATAACTCTTGTATCCTACCATTCATGCCTTGATAAAAAGGATTAAGAGAGGTAGATAGGAAGTTCCACACCTGGGTTTTCTTAGTTTGATATTCAGCTTCCACCTTGGAGCGCAAAGCTTCAGCATCGATCTCATCGAGTAGATCCTCCACATCAAAGACAGCATGTTTGAGCTCGTCAAGCCAACTTTCCACAGCAGGTTTGACAATCTGCTTCTCCTCTGCATCATTGAGCACTGCATGAAGGGTCAACAACGTCAGCTTCAGCTTCTCCATGAGCGAATGATCAAGCTTTTTCCCCCAAAACAGATCCAAGAACTCACCGGAACCAATCTTATCGCACATCACCTGGATGGAAGCAGAGAGAAAAGCCTCTCCAATCAAAGCTCCTGCCATTTCACTCTCTGTCTCTCTCTGTTTTCTTTTTTCTTCGAAGAATTGTTGGAGGTGAGGAAGAATAAGAGACTTAGGATTTATTGTTTTGGAAAGAGACAACTTGATATAATTTTCGGTCAATGATTCAGTGGACCCCACACCTTTACCATAGTCTTAATTCCCTATAATTTAACTGACAATTTCCTAGTCGAAGGTGGTAAATAATTCACTGGACCCACACGTTAATCATAGATTCTTACATTTCCTATAATTGAAGTGACAATTTCCTAATAGTTGGTTGGTGTGAGAGTGACAATGTGTAGGTTTGGTGACTTTCAATCGGCTTCCTTTGAGGACATTAATATATGAGACTTTGAATTATCTTGTTTGTGAGTGTGTGTGCATGAAACAGTTAATCAGGTGTTTCCGTGAACTAAAACAAACAACTCAGTTCGAATCATATACTCAACTTATAATGTCTTTTAAATAACTTCTCGACCGAGCTCAAAATTTATAGTTAACTTTTATGTGCCTATAAATGGTAATTAACCAGAACATCACTTGTCTTGTTTATGTTAAAAGTTACGTTGGGATTTTACTTTTAGACGGACAGATACAACACATGATTAGTTAAATTAATCACCTAATTAATTAAGATTAAGATTGGAAGCTTTCGTTTTTTATGTTATCATGTCATCAAGCATGTTAGTTAAAGATTCGGAACAAAGAGAGAGACACCATTTGTGAGTCACCAAATGCATTAGTATAATTATTGTTGGCCATAAGTGCCAGCAGAAAGAGACCATCACCAAAGTCTGAGTATATGTTTAATATTTAGGCATAATCGGATAAATGGTCTCGTGGTCATAAGGTATTCGGATGATAGCCCATGTGGTAAAAAAATTCGGATTTAAACCCCTGTGGTCACAGTCTGTTAGAATTTAAACTCATGTGGTCTAAGTCTGTTAGGATTTATACCCTTCTGTCATTCCTCCATTAGGTTTAGGTTGGCCAAATCCGATAAATGGTCCCCGAGGTCATAAGGAATTTGGAAGATAGCCCCTATGGTAGAAAAAATTTGGATTTAAACCCCTGTGGTCTAAGTCTATTAGGATTTATGCCTGAAATTAGAGGTTCTGTCATTCATTCGTTAAGCTTACAGGTGGAGCAGAGTTTCTCTGATTATCTATCACTAAAAAATATATTACAATAAAAATAGGGGGGAGAGAAGATTTCAGTTTATGGTAAAAAAAATTCATTCATCTCAGTTATTTCACAAGAAGAAAAAGACGAAAACAGAGGATCTGTTGAATTTCAAATAGTTAGTTTCACCAATAAGATACGAAGACTTACTTCACATTTACAATTGCACAAAAAAACTATTTATCTCAGAGAGGTTTACGTAAAATTATGGGAAAACGCCAATGATTACTGTCTTATTTGTCAAAGAAAAATAGAATATGCTTAATTAATCAGTTGGATATTCGGGAGTCAAAAACTCATTAATTTTATAAAGGCATTTTGAATTATTTGATTTATTAGATCTTGAATTTTAATGAATTATGTATTTATTAGTTCCACCTCGTTCTGTCGCGTCTCCTCAAAAAAACTCTACTTCACCTATAAGCTTAGTGGAGAAATGACAGAACCTCTAGTTTCGGGCATAAATCCTAACAAACTTAGACCACAGGGGTTTAAATCCGAATTTTTTTTTACCACAGGGACTATTTTCCGAATACCTTATGACCACGGGGACCATTTATCCGATTTTGCCAACCTAAACCTAATGGAGGAACGACAAAAGGGGCTTAAATTCTAACAGACTTAGACCACAGGGGTTTAAATCCTAACAAACTGTGACCATAAGGGTTTAAATCTAAATTTTTTTATCACATGGGCTATCATCCGAATACCCTATGACCACGGGGACCATTTATCCGATTAGGCCTAATATTTATTATTGCCTGTGTGGAAATCGTCTATTATTGACCAAGTCCACAGCCAACTTGAAGTTTCTCTCTTTTCCCACTAAATCAAAAGATAAAAAACATGGAAGAAAAAAAAATAATGGACATAAAGTTTTCCAAAATAGAAGCTACTACATGCATAACAAGGACCTCCCACCAATAGGTCAAGTAAACCTGGCCTCGCCCTTCTGTAATGATCTATGTGGCCGAACATATAGGTTTGTTGCATTATCGTATTTTTGTGACAGATTTGTATTGATGACATTTTGTAGGATAGGTCACTGTTTGTGGTGCTGTATAAGGGTTTATTATTGTTTGTTTGTGCAAATTTACTCCATATCAATTTATTGGTCACTGGAGCTAATATACCCGATCAGTTACTCTGTAATTGTTTGTGAAGTTCAATAAAATATTACTCTATCGTTTCTTGTCAAAAAAAAAAAAAAAAAGAAGTAGAAAAAGTGATTTGCGTATTTGAATTTTGATAATAATGGATCATCTAATTTAACCAATTAATTTTTGGTTTATTGTTGTTCTCTTCCCAAAGTTTGAAAAGATTCTAAGTTTGAATGTGTTGGAGGTCGGCTAGAGTTCATATAATTAAACCAAATAAAAACGATGCTCAATGGTAACGAAGAAAAAGTTGTATGATTGACCTAATTATAGAAACAAGAAGACTATATCCGACCGTTAAGATAATAATTGTATTACATAAATGTATGTTTTGTAGTCAGTCCTCAAAATAAATAAATAGTGCTAATTGTATTATTATTGGTCACCAAAGACCAAACCATATTTACCAACGTTGGCAGTGAGGAAGGCAAGTAGCGTAGATCGATGTAGACAATAGACAGGGCACCAAAGACCAAACTATACTAATATGTATGTAAATACATTGGGTATTGAAACGCCCTGCCCCAAAAATATTTGCTTTATTTCGGGAAATAATATTAGTGACAGATCCAAATTAAAATCGTGTTTAGTTGACCACCATTAATTTTGATTTTCTAATTCAACTCACTAATCATTTACATTAAATTCATGACCAACTTTATTTAAATTACCATAAGGTAAAAACTCAAATTGTTTACCAAATTCCTTTCTCTCGTACAAATTCACAACAATGAATTTCTTTCGAATAATTACCACCTCTCGTGATTCTTAATTATGTCTTATTTCCAACCATGATTCATAACTAAAATTTTAAAACCAAACTTACTAATTTATTCTCACTTTGTCACCATTTCGTTTTATAGATCACTTCCCATTCTAAAAATTATTGCACGAATTATTTAAGGCTGCATCTAATACTGTTAGACTGCCTACGTACCCTTGAGTGGGATCAAGCCTTTTGTAGTTCACATTCCACAACCTAGTTCATTAACTTTGACACTTTAGTGACTAACAATCACAAATTCGGTCCAAACAATTGAATCATACCATATGCATATTAAATATGGATTCAGAACATTTGAAAGCATGAAAAAGGCAGAGTCAGCCCACTGGCCACGCGCCGCTGCATGCGCCGCCGTGGGTAATGGTCGGCCACCCTGACTTGCCGAAAAATTCAACTATTTCCAAAAATTACCAAATTTTACAGAGTTGTAGATCTCAATGAGTGGAACAACTTTCATACATATGGCCAAGTCCAATTTGGCCGGAAAAAGCTCCCATTTCACCAAAACCCTCCGGAAACCCTAGAATAGGTATGCTTTGATCCATCACCTCTGGTGATCCGCCGCCCCTATAGTTGTTTGGGCTTTGTTCTAAGCCTTAAGGGAAGTCTAGTAATGGTGGTAATTGGAGGGAAACATGTCACATCCCGGCCCGGGGTCCACCACATCCCTGGCCCACTCCACCACCGTAGCACGATATTGTCCGCTTTGGGCCCCGACTACGCCCTCACGGTTTTGTTTTTGGGAATTCACACGAGAACTTCCCAGTGGGTCACCCATCATGGGACTGCTCTCGTGCGTTACTCGCTTAACTTTGGAATTCCTACGGAACCCGAAGCCAATGAGCTCCCAAAAAGCCTCGTGTTAGGTAGGGATGGGAATATACATTTAAGGATCATTCCCCTAGGTGATGTGGGATCTTACAATCCACCCCCCTTAGGGGCCCGACGTCCTCGTCGGCACACCACAGCCAAGGTTAGGCTCTGATACCAAATTGTCACATCCTGGCCCGGGGTCTACCACATCCCGGGCCCGCTTCACCACCGTAGCACGATATTGTCCGCTTTGGGCCCCGACTACACCCTCACGATTTTGTTTTTGGAAACTCACACGAGAACTTCCCTGTGGGTCACCCATCATGGGACTGCTCTCGTGCGCTACTCGCTTAACTTCAGAGTTTATACGGAACCCGAAGCCAGTGAGCTCCCAAAAAGCCTCGTGCTAGGTAGGGATGAAAATATACATTTAAGGATCACTCCCTTAGGTGATGTGGGATCTTACAAAACCTTTCAC